CCAGGTTGTCCGCTCGCCGTGTGTGTGTGTGTGTGTGTGTGTGTGTGTGTGTGTACGTGCTTGTCCTTCGGGGACACTTGGCTTCTGCGGGGATCGGGGACTTCAAAGGGAACGAGCAAACGGGAGAGGCCCCGGGTCTTGGCCCGGGAGGGTAAACAGTTTGGGCACCGGCTTCTGTTGCGCTCGAGGCGCAGGATGCAGGGGCCCGAGGCCGCGGGACGCTGCTGCCGACTCATCCGCTTGGGGTGAGGCAGACCCACGCTGATTACGGGGTTTATTCGTCTCCAGCCGGCTTGGGTCTTAAGAAGCCTCGTTTCAGAGGGGGCCTGCGGAGGGTTTTAAATAGCTCGGGATTTGGTTCGCTTCCACTTTAAAAGCCTCTGTAGGGGAAGCTCTCGAGCTGTGAGGGCTGATCAGAAATTCGTCGACTGGGTGGAATCCTGTGCCGCTATCACTGTTTGGAGGATTAGTAACTGTGTTTTAATTACATGAAAATTAGCAGCTATGTTGCTTGCTGCTTTTTTTCTTTCTTTCTTTCTTTCTTTCTTTTTTTTTTTTTCATTCCCTTTGCAGCTCCCACCCTGTTCCAGGGCCTTTCCAGCTCCCCAGGTCCCCACCGCCAATGCATGGTGCAGGGATCCCGCAGGCTGAGCCCCGGTTTGGGGTGGGTCAGAGCGGAAGTGCCTGGGATTGAGGGGCACCCCCACCCCAGGTGGGGCTCTCAGTGTTCTTCGTGCTCTGGGGGTCACAGCCTGCCTGTTTCGAGTATCCCCTTCCCCCCCTTATTGTGAGTCCTGACTCCTGGCCCGGCCCCAGGCGTGTACCTTGGCACAGGACGGGGGAAAGGCCACGTCACCCTCAGAGGTGGAAGCTAATCAGTGCACCTCAGGGCACTTGTCCGCATTTTGCCCCCCCCCCCACCCCCCAGCGATGGAGCACAGAACTGCCCTTGTCTCTCTATCGAGTGGATCAGATTAAAAGCCGCTGGTTTGTTCCACACTCTGAGCCCAGGCCCACGCTGTGACTCAGGAAGGTGGAGAAGGAACCACAGGGTAAACACACATCAAAAGCAGAAGGAAGGAGCCCGGCCGGCGTGGCTCAGGGGTTGGGCATCAACCTGTGAACCAGGAGGTCAGGGTTTGATTCCCGGTCAGGGCACTTGCCCAGGTTCCGGGCTCGGTCCACGGTGGGGGGCGTGCAGGAGGCAGCCGATCCATGATTCTCTCTCATCATTGATGTTTCTCTCTCTCCCCCTCTCCCTTCCTCTCTGAAGCCAATGAAAATATATTTTAAAAAATAATAATAGAGGCAAAAACCTAATTACAAAGTGGACAGAGAATACGAGCGGTCAGTTAATAGAAGAAACAATTCAGCCGGCTCAGAAACCTATGGAAAGACACAGGCCGCTCTCGAAACCAGGGAGACGAACATTAGAATCGCGAGAGGCTCTTGCAAACCAATGGGGTTGGCAAAATTGAGAAATCTGACTCCATGGGGGGCGGAGGGCAGCGAGAACAGGAAGCAGTGTGACCTCATGTCCCTGGGGTGGGAGTGGGACTGAGACACGGTTGTGGGGGCAGTGGGGCCGCGTCACGTCACGAAGGGATGCGTGATCTGGGACCAGCCGCTCCCGTGGGGGTGGGTCGTGCGGGGAAACTCGCTCACGTGTGTGAACTGAGTGCGTATTGCCATAACAGAAGCCTTCGTGGCGAATCGCACGCTTGGACTTCTCCTGGCGCGGGCTGGGCGACAGGGAGAAGGAGCGGGTTTGCCTGGCTCTCCCTCCCGGGGCCTCCCCTCCGTCGGCCACTGCGGCTCCGGCAGGAAGTGTGGTCTTGCTCTGTGGTCAGGCTCTGGTTCTGGAACTCTCGCTTCTATGGAAGCATGTGCTTCTCCGCCCCCCTTGCCCATCCATCACGTGAGCTCTTCTGGCAAACCCAGCAGCGTCGCGCCCTGACAGTGACGGCCAAGTCCTCGCCTCGGACCCCGTGTGTGTGTGTGTGTGTGTGTGTGTGTGTGTGCATGGAAGCACGTCTCAGCCCGTCCCGTTGGCCGCAGCCTTGGGTGACTAGAGAGAGTTTCACTCTGACTTCGTGAACACAGCCACATGCGTGTTATAACCCCATATTAGAGTCACAGGGGCCTTTCCAGCTTTCTTTTCTTGATTCCAGGGAGGAAGGAAGAGGGAGAGAGAGAGAGAGAGAGAGAGAGAGAGAGAAACATCCATGATGAGAGAGAATCATGGATCGGCTGCCTCCTGCACATCTCACACTGGGGATGGAGCCCGCAAGCCGGGCATGTGCCCTGACCGGGAATCGAACCGTGACCTCCTGGTTCCTAGGTCGACGCTCCACCACTGAGCCCCGCCGGCCGGGTCCTTTCTGGTTTTCAGAGTCCCTTTTCGCACATTTTTATTTGATACTCGCAATAACCACGCAAGACTGTAAGGGCCGTTTTCCTACAGGAGGAGGGAGATGAGCTGCCTCAGATCAGAGTTACTAACAGGGTTCCCCACGGCTCTTTGTAAGAATACGAGACCCACTGGGGTGAGTTGGGGGAGAAGAAAACAGTTCTGGTTTCCTCTTTTATTTTTTTATCTTTTTTAATTTTTTTTTTTTAATTCCAGAGAGGAAGGGAAAGGGAGAGAGAGAGAAACATCCATGATGAGAGAGAATCCTGCACGCCCCACACTGGGGACCAGGTCCACAACCCGGGCATGTGCCCCGCCCGGGAATCGAACCATGACCTCCTGGTTCATAGGTCGATGCTCCACCACTGAGCCCTGCCGGGCGGGCAGCCCTCCGCATTATAACACAGAGCCCCAGCTTCCCAGTCTGAAGGCTCACAGGTGATTAGCTCATCGGGGTCTTGGTCCACCTCCCGGATGCCGTTGGCCTCAGAGGCAGGCCTGCCCCACAGCGTCCTTCCACGTTGCCTCTGAGATCAGCTCGTTTTCCATCCAGGCGAGAGTTCAGATATTGACGGCCTTGTCGTCTCGAGGGAATTTAGGACTAAATTAAGGATTTAAAAAAAAAACACGTGTGTGCCCAGCTTTTCAAGTCTTCATTTTACTGGGCAAGAAGTTACCAGCATGACCTCGGCCGTACCAGACCCTTGGAAAGGGGAGTGAACTTGACCCCGCAGCCCTTGCTGTCCTCCGGCACACGCCTCCTCTGCTGACTTCCGATCAGCCACACTTTCTGCTCAGCTCCCCAAGAGAAAGTAGGAAAGTCCCGGCCTCCAGCCTACCCCCTCCTGTCTCCCTACCATC